CCTATTGCAAGACCGGGAGTGTCAATTAGAGCTGACCAGAACCGAAGCTTCAATGCTGCTAAGCACGAACAGTCTAGTTGGAGTTGAGAGCCGCTAAGCTGACAGAACCAACTTTATGTCAACCTTCTTCATTCTTCATTTAGTACTTGCCAATCATTTCTCTCATCGTGTCCCGAATCAGATAGGAGGAGATACCGCGCAAAGGGCAGATCATTCCAGGGATATTGAAACGAACGAGGTCACAATTGACCAGCAGTTCGGAAGTTCCGATTCAGTCAGTAGTAAAAACCAGCTTCTCTCATTTGTTCTGAGATTGCCTCACGCTCGCTCTCGCTCCTCGGCGCCTTTTCAATTCTCGTATAACATCAAAACTCACAGTCTGGGAATCGCGTATCCCCAAGTTCACTTTGTCAAACTTTTGCGAACGAGCACGCCCGCCTTGAGTGATGGAAGCGTGCCTTGGGGTATAATAGTAAAGCGTTCCTGGCATCAGGCAAGTAACGGTGTTGATGAGAAAAAATCGGGGAAGGAGAAGATATAAACTGCAACAGAGAATTTCACTGATAAAACCTTAGACAACAATCAAGCTACAGCCTAGGTCAGGCAAGTGAAATAATACGTTCCCGGTCGTCTGCTCTACAATTATGGAATGTTAAGGCTTATCAATAGATAAGAAACACTCTTGAGAAAATTGTGATTGCATGCATTGCTGAATTGACTACGAGCTGTTCAATTCGAGTCCGGATGCAGTCTACATATGCTCACGATGGTCCACTTCTCCTGCTTATGTGCACCAGCAATATTCAAGCTGGAGTATGTCCGAAATACCCCTCAATGATATCGATCCAAGAGACCATGGTCATCAATATGACAAACAGATGACATCTTAACTGCAGAATATTTTGACTTTTTGGCAGATGCTTTGTGTACATGCGGCTAATATGTAGTGCGCGTTTAGCTGCCGCTGGCTCCTTGGACCTTCCCTCATATGAGTACAGCCACACAAAGGCTCAACTACAGTCTAGCAGTGGGATGCCGTAAACACGAATGATAGTTGTCATTGGAATTGAGAGTCTTAGTCAATCGTGCCAGATCGGGACATTCCAAGCAAAGCACCCAAGCCCCAAAGAAATCGGCTACCTATCCGAAAGAGGCACACCTTGGCTCCCATTGAATCATACCGTAGCTCATGTTCCCGCTGTATGATTGCCAACGTACTATGTACGTCTGTTATGCATGTCAAACCTTTGAGTAAATTGGTTCGATATCGTTGTTAATGGAGCGGATCGCCGGAACCGGAACCTTGGGCCGGGGGGCTGGGAATGTTTCCCGTCCGTTATCAAACGAATCCGAGGAACCCCCAGCCAGCCGACGAGTCATTTTTACGCCTTTGGGCCCCGTCGGGCCCCGCAGAGACATGTCAACCCCATAGAATGATCCGGGGCCGCCATGCAATGCTGCAATAAACCGCAGCAATAAGCATGAACTAGCCAATTCCCCGGGTTGGGGTCTGTTGCTATGCCGTAATCTTATTCTGCCCAGACCAGTTGATCTCCTCCAGCTATCAAGATAAGTATCAGATAAGGCCTTTCCTCGTCCATTCACATCCCAACACAGGCTGACAAACATTGAATACGGGGGAGACTCGAGAGCCCACACACCAAAGCGGCCCAAGATGGAGACCATCCCAGGACTTAACCACTAGGTCGGTATGGCTCTGCCGATGACGGCACTGGTCACTTTTTTGCCGAGCTGATAAGAGAAAACCCGAGAGCACGGAACCAGCGTTCGCCTGCCTTAGCCTCGAGCGCATTCGGAGCCCAAACCCACGTGTGATAGGACCCAAGCCGTCGAGATAAGGTCGATGATGATTCTCCAGAGTATTGGTCAATTGGGACATCTTCCATGGTTTCTAGCGTGGGCATGGAAGGGTCGGGCGAGTGATTTTTCCCACAAGCCGGATATTGACACCGGAATCCATGGGAATTCGAATTGTTTCTTATCGCCTTGGCTACAGTCATGTATTCTCGCGATAAGTCGTATTCACTGCAAGGACCGCTATATAAGACGAAGTAAACATGCCGCCAAGTTTCGTTATTTGACCAGCCAGCAGAGCAGTTCAGAGCATCTCCCTCTCCTCATAGCCCCCATTGTCCTCTAGGAAGCCACTCGCAACTTCGGTGACTTTCCATCAGCACGACAATCAGCCAAGATGCAGACTCGCAACCTCCTCCTCGCAGCTTCTCAGTTGGCTCTCGGGCTCGCGGCCCCGGCCCCGCTCCCGGCATACAACCTTCTCTCTACCCGCGAGACGCACTACAACGCCAGCCTGCCCAACATCACAATCTTCGCCACGGGCGGCACCATCGCAGGTTCAGCGTCCTCAAATGCCCAGACCACAGGCTACCAAGCCGGCGCTCTCGGCGTCGACATCCTCATCGCCGCCGTCCCGGAGCTGTGGAACGTTTCCAACGTCAAGGGCGTGCAGGTCGCCAACGTGGACTCGGGCAGCATCACCCCCGGCATCCTCCTCAACCTCACCCGCCTCGTGCAAGAGGCCCTCGATGACCCCTACTGCCAGGGCGCAGTCATCACCCACGGCACCGATACGATGGAGGAGTCCGCCTTCTTCCTTGACGCTACCATCAAGAGCGAGAAGCCCGTCGTCGTCGTGGGCGCAATGAGACCCGCCACCGCCATCAGCGCCGACGGCCCCATCAACCTCCTCGAGGCCGTCACCCTCGCCGGCAGCCCCGCCGCCGCAGGCCGCGGCACCATGATCGTCCTTAACGACCGCATCGGCAGCGCCTACTACACCACAAAGACTCACTCCAACTCCCTCGACACCTTCAAGGCCGTCGAGCAGGGCTACCTTGGCTTCTTCCTCGACATCAAGCCCGTCTTCTACTACCCTCCGGTCCTGCCCCTCGGCCGCGCCTACTTCAACGTCACCGAGGCCTCCGCGCTTCCCGAGGTTGACATCCTCTTCGGCCACCAGGCTCTTAACCCTGCTCTCGCTACCGCCGCCGTAGCCAGCGGCGCCAAGGGTCTCGTTCTTGCCGGTATGGGTGCCGGTGGGTGGACTACGCCCGGCCGTAACGCGCTTAAGACCCTGGCGCAGGAGAATGGCACGCAGATTGTTGTCTCTAGCAGAACCATGGGTGGATTTGTCGAGGATGACGATGCCCTTAACACGTATGGTGGCTGGAACTTGAACCCCCAGAAGTCGCGCATCCTGTTGCAGCTTGCGCTTTACTCTGGCTACAGCTCCTCGCAGCTTGAGACGCTGTTCAAGTTCGCGCCTTAGATTGGAAGAGACATGACACTGAATTATGAGATCATGAGTACATAGATATAATCATAGAAAAATAGTAATTTTTATCATTAGAACTAGGCAATTCCCGTGATGTCTGAATTCTTAGCTCGACCTGCTAGGTGTATTGGCATAACTTTTCTGATAACGGCAGGCGGCTTTCCGATGCCAACAACCGTGTTCGCCTTCTCTATTTTCTCATGTAATCTCAGCTTCCGGTGCTGTTGCAAAACTGCCAAGGCAGTTCCTGCCGGACAGGGATCACATGTCCTTCTTCAAAGAGCTCTTCTCCAACTGAGCAACCATTGCAAAGACCCGCCTCGTCTCCGCGCAGCTCTTGATAATGAGATAGAAAGGAATAATGATCCAAAAGGCATTGAAGAAGACGTAATAACACCAAAAGTAAAAGTCTTCAGGTCGGCAGTAAATCATTTTGGCAACGAGCTTGTCAAAGGAGCACGTCGCAAAGTACAAGACATCGCCGTAGAGCTGCCCAAGACTTATGATGATCTGCAGAGGGTGGCGGAGGGGATGCCCGGTGACAATGAAGTATGCGCACACGAAGGACAGCGGACCCCAGCAGAATGCGGTGATGGTCTCCATGCAGACGATGAAGGAGTCCTGGGTCAGGTAGCGGGAGTCGGAGAGGGAGTATTCTTTCCAGAGCTGGCCGAAGATGTGTAGGGATGCTGGCATGCTTGATTGATTGTATGAGAAGTAGCCTGATCAGGTTTTAGTCGAGGTGGTTCATATGACGGTCTAGGTTACAGCTAGGGGCTCGAGCATGGATGACTGACCTTCGAAGAAGAGATGGATAAAGGCGCTTAGAGTGAACCACAGTGCCGTGGCGACCTCGCCATTAGGAAGATTCGGGCTTGTTCTTTTGATGATGCGGTATGTCGGTATGAGGATGGCGGTTGCCCCTGCGGCAAACATACCACGCAAAGCATGCGCGCCAAACGTGTTGGCAACGTAGCCTGGGAGTACAGCCTCCGCGGGGAAGTAGGGGTGGGCCGGGATAGTGGCGTTCATGACGATTTCTGCAGGCATGGTGGGAATCTTCCTATTTTGTTCTTTGCACTTAGTTCTGTTTTCTGGTCAAAATCCCATACACTGAAGGGGAATTCGTGAGCTTTATGGATGTCAGGTGAAGGATTCATGATCCAAAATTCCTACGCCTCGCAATCTACTCTGCCACAGCCGGGAGAGCTGCCATCCGCATCGTGCGATTTTCAGCTCTTGTTTGCACAGAGACATCCGCCAAGTACTAAGCAAACTTACATTCTATTGGCCACAGGATTAGCATAAGCAGCCAAGCGAGATTGCACCGGCATCGTATTCGGGTTCAAGCATTTCTGTCTGACATAACCACGGACGAGAGAATAGAGCATACTCAGGAGAGGACTTTAGTGCTATTCTCCGGGGCCGCCAGGTGCAAAAGCCCGATCCGGGATCCACACCTGGAGGCCGAGTCTGCCGTCGCCCGAGGGTCCAACACCGGGCTATTCCACCGAGTGAAACATGACACGGAAGAGGATGCACAACGTTTTGAACATTGAATCTCTAAAATCGTTGTCTAGATATCTATGGACTGATAGTTATCACTTGTGAGTTGGGTATACAATTACAATCATTACATCTCGTCACCCCATATAGTGTCGAGTCTCGTTTCCATTGCCAAGGCCCTTCAGACGTCGCCCTTCTTTTCCCCCTTCTTCTTACGGATATCGACCCAGCCCATACCCCACGAGAGCACAAACGCGAGACCACCAATTCCGATCATGAGGTAAAACACCTCACCGATACTCTTCGAATATGCCACCAGCACCCCAGGCAAATCGCTCTCCGGTACAACGGTCCTAAACCCTGTGCCGCCCGCAGCCAGAACTGTCTTCACATCTACTGCCGGAGCGTACTTTGCCAAGTTCTTGCCCAGACCTTCGCTGAAAATGACTTCGCCTGCTGTCAGGAAAATGGCACCGCCAAACGTTTGCATGAAGACGAGCATTGCCATCGATACGGAAAGGGTCGCTGGCGGTATATTGGCTTGGACGGCGATGATGTGCTGGAGAAGCGTGAATATTAGCTTGGCCTTTCCAAGTCGCATAACAGCATATCTCACCATTTGCATACAGGCGCCACGGCCGGCGCCGAGGAGGACTTGATAGCCAATCCACTTGGCAGAATCTGTAGATGGATCCCAGGTAGAAATGAGGCCGTTACCAATCGCCGATAAGACGGAACCGAATACAGCCCAGGGAAGGTAGTACCCCATCCTACCAACTATGAAGGATTAGTATCTCCATTATTCCATAGTCGGATTCCAAGGACGCAACAGCCGTCAGCTTACCTAAAGCCCCTGACGCGACAGCAAAGACCAACTGGGCAATGATAGTCGGCAAGAAGTGAACACCACCCCGGAACGGCGTCTCACCCTTGACGCTCTGGAAATACATGGGGATGTAGTAGCTTGACACCTGTGTAATGCTCATGTTCAGGGCTCCAACCAGACTGCTCGTCAAGACGATCCTATTCTTGAACAGCCCCATTGGGACCATGGCTTTTTCGTCGCCTTCCCTGTGCTCCCAGAAGATGAATAGCCCAGCGGTCACGGCAGCGCCGACGAACAAGCCGATAACTACCGATGAGTCCCAGCTATAGTCATTGCCACCGAACTGTAGAGCGAGAAGGAACATGATAGCCGCGGGAGCGAAGAGGGCGAAACCGGGAAGATCGAGATATCGGGGTATTTGGACGAGGGAGACTGGCTTGGTGATCTTTGACGGGATGTGGATAAGGAAAAGCATAGCTGCGGTGACTGCACCAATTGGAAGGTTGATGTAGAAACCTGTGTGGAAAGTTAGTATTGTTCCCATCCACAAGTTGTAGCGCAACTACCGGGCAAAGATAACTAAGCTGAGAAAAGAGTCAACTTACACCAACGCCAGGTCGTGTACTGAGTCAAGGCTCCTCCCACAAGAGGTCCAGCGACAATGCCAATGTTCGAAATACCGATCATGATCCCAATTATCAACGGTCTCTTTTCCAATGGGACGGTGGCGCCGATGATAGTCAATGAACCATTGAAAAGTCCCCCAGATCCCATGCCTGAGACAGCCCGTCCGATGATGAACAGTGTTGATGAATTAGAGAGGGCGCAGATAAGAGATCCGGCCTCGAAGACGAAGAGGAAGGCAAGGAATATTTCTTTCGAATGACGGTGCGTGTAAAGCTTGCCGGCCAAGGGCTGCAGGGCGGCACTATTTTGAAATGCATGTCAGCTTTGGTGATTCGAAGAGCACTTGGCTCGCAGATTTCCCCGTGTAAGAGGCATAGAGTTGACATACCCACAGAGACTGTATGCTGCACCATACCATCCAACGTCAGAAAGAGAGTTGAACGCTGTTGTGATCTCCGGAACGGCCTAGACCCAGTGTCAGACTTGCCATGAGCACCTCGTCACATGCATCACTTGACAACCGTACCGTAGTGATGATAGACATGTCCAGCATCATGAGAAACACAGTGAGCGTTAGTGCCGCTAGGACAAGGATGAGCTTGAGGCCCTCGATGTACTCCTCCTCGGCTTCCTCTTGGTCCACCGCCGTGCTTCCCTCATCTTCGGTACCGCTTTCCTTCTTATCGGTATGCTCAATATCCGAGTCGTTTGATGGTGGCAGTGGCTTTTCCGACATATCGAGAACGATAGGAGTCGTCGATGGTTGTGTCATGGCCGATGCCGGTGATGTGAAGCGGGTCTTGGTGAGCTCCCTGGAGCTTCGTGAAGTAGGCCGGTCCATGTTCAAGATCTGGAAAAGATCTGGTGAAATGTCTGGGCATCAAGGAAATAGTATGGATGAAACTTGGCACATCTTATGTAGCAAGTAACATTAACTTCAAAAACATCAAGATACGGTGATGCGCACGCATTTAAGAAACCCTTAGCCCGCATCTGAACTCCGTCTCGTAACTCCCTACACCCATCCTTAACCCCGTCGTGTCAACAACAAGCAAACGCCAGCCGGCATTTTCTGGTACTAACCCGCTCTCGGGTGTCCAGACTCGCTTAACCCGGGTCACGGTGTAAGGCTGACAATAGCGCAATCGCTGCACATCCGGGGTTCACACTAACCCCGAGGAGACTTTGGTAATACCTAACCCTTCACACCACATCAAATTTCCGTTCACACGCCAACGATTGGTCCCAACAGAGTGGAACTTACGACTCGGGCATACTTGCCCTGTTCTCTACTAAGCTATCTGGTCATTCAGCTTACTTTGGCATGCTTACCTAGTGCGCTGGCTGTTTTATTTATTAGCCGTTTGTTGGTTTTGAATTCGGGAGGATTCGACTAGCTGCATAACTGCGAGAGATTGATTACGAGTCAAAACCCCCCAGCCGGGATTTGGTGCCACGAGGATCTTGAAATCCGTCCGGTCAGCCATCCCGTTTCGATTTACGGTCGCTGCAGCAATAGTCCGAGCCCACTCCGCCTGGCAGTTGGTGTTTTCCAGCAAACGATCCGGATCCGGGCTTGGCCGGTGCAGGTAGCCAGAACTCGGAGACTTTGCTGAATGGTGAGGGCTCAATTGGCCCGATGATCAAACCGACGTATCGGCATATACACATAGGCCGAATTCGGATTCTTATTTGTAAGCCGCATTGGCTCTTTGATCCGGCCCCAACGACCGCACGTATTGTCGCTATCAAGGTACTACCACCAACCGGTAACCGCCAAGCTCCTACAGAGAGTATGAATCTCGCCAAACAACCGTGATGACCCAGACTATATAACTGATAACCACGCATGCAAGGAATCCGCTGCCAGTGTTCACGCCATTTCTATCGCAACAGCCAGTGTACGGCTCAGTCATGCGCACTAGACATTTTTATACTGAAGAAGGGTCATCGTACAGGAGGGATGGGTCCAAAGTTGTTGCAGCGAAGAGCGTACCCGCTCCAGTTCGCTTCGATAGGGAAAAGAGGCTCGCGCCCGTTGTTGCATGGCGCGCAGGCGGGGTAGATCTGGCGCTGGGCGAGGAGGGCGCCGTCAGGCGCGGAGTCGGCGGTGACGCCGGTCATGAAGGGGAGGACAGGAGCTGCTATGGAGATTTTCATTTTGTCCGGTTGGAGGAGCCGATCGAGGTACTTAACTGAGGAACTAAAGTATGTACTTGCTGCAGATAATGTGAATAGGCAGTTTTGGAATGGTCTTGTTCTCCTAGGTACAAAATGAAGATGCTGTCACTACACCTCTATCCCGTCATCCGTAGACAGTCGAAGAGACATTATTTCTGCCTGTACAACGACTCTCCCGCCCGTCTCAGTGCGCTCATAATCCGTTGGATTCATCCTTTCTCCAGAAATCAAAGAAAAGCAGAAATATCAGGAACCGATGAATCGCCCAAGTTTAATGCCTCCTAAAGGTAATCAAGTCAGCCCGCGCCCTTCCCCCAAGAACTACCAGCGAGGACATAGGCTTAGAAAACTCACCTTCTTGCCCCTTCCACTCTCCATCTCCTCGAAAGCCTTGAGAATCACACGCTTCCTCTCCTCACTCCGGCATTGGAATCTCACAGGCATATTCTTTCCCGGGTTCCCAGGCAATGAATCAGCGTAATCAGCAAATTCTAACGGCGTCTTTGCTCCCTCGGCAGGCAGGATTTTGAATGCCCAGAGGATACGCATCATTGTTACGACGGCGGAACGTTCTGCGACGGTGTATCCGGGACCTTTTCAAACGCAATAGATGTTAGCGATGAATCTTTTTGTGGTCAGGTAGGATAGATGCATGGCGGAGTTGCCAAGGTTTTGTGACGTACAAACGCGACGACCGGCGCCGAAGGCAAAGTGGTCTCTCTTTGTCGGGTCCTGCGCGTTGATGCTTTCCATCGTCTAGAAAGTCGTGTCAGTTCTGGCTTGACCTCGAGATTCGCATTGAGGTACTCACAGTGGTCCCGTCATCCTCAAACCTCTCTGGCCAAAACCGATCAGGATCTTCGTGTCTCGCGGGATCTCGACTAATCGCACTTTACCCCATAGTCAGCGACAAGATTCCAATCTCACGACAAGGAAACTCGGCCTTACTATGCGTTAAGGTGAATTCGTGCCCCCTTGGGAAGCCTGTACCCCCCAACCTCCACCTCGCGCGAGGTGATGTGAGGATGTCCCAGCGCCACCGGCGGCCTCCACCGCCATACTTCCTTGAGGAGCATGCGGATGTATGGAATTCGCGCGTAGTCTTCGTATGTTGGTGGTCTGTCACCAACGGCCTTATCTAGAAAACATCAGCTGGTTAGCGGTCGTGGTTGCCTGGAGAGCGACCAGGTTGGGGTTAAGACTGCTAGGATCGATGTTCTTAACATACCGATTTCAGCTTGTGCTCGGGCTTGAGCTTCGGGAAACTGCAACATGGCCTCGACGAACGACCATGTCGTCATTCGGCTCTAGCAATTTGCGTCAGCTATCAAACGCATTCGGCAGTGAAGTAAAGGGAAGTTACTCACAGTATCCGCAGAAGCAACAATCAAAGCAGAGCTCAAAATCGCAAGCTCCTCCTTACAAGACATACCCTTGAGACTCTCATCGGCCAAAGCAGAACCCAAGAAAGTCCCTTCGAATGAGGAATCTCCTCTTGCTATTGCCTCTTCGACAATCTGCAACCGAACCAGTGGTCAATAGTGTTCTCAGAGCATGCCTTCATAGGTAAGATGTGTTTAGTTTCACCTTGACTCGTTTCATCCCCCATGAGAGGTCGCGTCTGTATCTTGCGCGTCCATGTCTCTCCCAGGGCTTGAGGAAGAGAGGCAACTTCCCCAAAGAAGGGGCGAGATCGATAATGTTGGTGCCAGGGAAGGTGTCTACCGCTCATTGTCAGTTTATCCGAACCCATGGCATTCGCCGCGGTCCTCAGAGATGATGGTCGTACTTATGATCTGGTATTCCGATTCTGTAGTCAACATCGTCAGTAAACCTTTTCAGCACCAAAGAAGGCCCGACAGGGATCTTCACACACCTTGAAGAAAGTCGATGACCGAGTCATCTGCGTCAGGCACCTAAACCATGCTCCAGTCATCACCTGCCCCGTCACAACACAAGGTTGGGGCGATATCTCACATCCATGCCCATAATAACCATCGCGAATGCGCTATACGTATACCGCTCAATACCTCTCAAGAGCTGAAGCCCCGAAAGTCCGCCTGATGGTTCAAGGACATTATCGCGAAGGAACCGCATTGTCTCGTATTCTAGAAACCTAGCATGGCATTAGATTGCTAGATCCATAGACGATTCAAGAAGCATGTGAAAGGAGGCAAGGATAGCTTACGGCACAATCTTCCCCGCTTGCTGTGGACTTGTGAGAAGCTGCTGAATGACCTTCCTCTGGTTCTGTAGGTATCAGGCGTTTCAGTCAGCATCGTTCAACCAGAGATTGCAACGTACTGTACCTTCCAAGTTGGATCACTCGCGTCCAAAAACAAAGTATTAAACCCATTGTTCAAAATTTCATTCGACATGATCCACACGGGTCGATCCGCCGTCACTGCAGACTTTTTATCAAAAAGCTCCTGTCTCCAACGTCAGAACTCCGGGACTTCTTATACCATCATCACTAAAATCGAGACCCCCGCTACTCTCGCATTTCCACGGCCAGCCCACAATTGCGACAAGCTTACCTTGACCAAACCATCAGAGTTGATGTAGTAATCAACAATATACCCAGTCCTTACTCCGAATATAGCACCATACTCTCTTGCCCAACTTTCCAACTTCAAATGCCATCGCCGCGCTTGATTCTCCCTGATTAAATCCGTCAAGTGGCCCAGAATAGGCTTCGAGGGCGGTTGAGGCGGCAAAGGTAGGCCGTTTGTCCGTCTCCTTGTTTTCGTCCAGAGAAATAGGGCCAATGTCGTCGTGAGAATGGCGTAGATCAGGAAAACTGTCGGGTTGGACGTGACAGCGTTCACGATGCGGAATGAGATGGCCTGTATGGCGTTGATAGCGAAGTAGCCCATGTTCACGGTAATGGTGCGAATGCTCTAAACTTGTCTAATCTCGAGACAAGTCACCGACATAAACTTACAGATCAACGGGGAAGAATTCGTCCAAATTTGTATTTATTGCGATGTTTCCTGTCATCTTCAAGATACCCCGACTCCGTGATGGATACTCAAAAGAACGTCGGATTTCCCGCCATTCGGCGTCAAGGTCGGTGTCGCTGATTTACAGTTTACCGTCCTAGCAACTTCGCGTTGCCCCAGGTTTTGGGATGAAAAGGCTAACCCCCACCGGCATTGCCGCCCGACCTCCGGGAGTGCGGGGGTGCTAGCTGCACAAGCGTCCGCCCTCCCGTGGGTAGTAATTGCACATACACGATTGGTGGTTGGACTGGTATCAGCAGCGCCATATTCCATGTGCCGTTAGGCGTTCGTTCGCTTCTGATCCTGGTGGAGCATGTTCGTACTAAGAAGGTGTTCAGACCACTCCGTATCGGCAAGATAATTGAACCGACTGGAAGTCACATAGAAACCATGCTGTAGATGTACGGGGTGTCGGCGCTGATATAGCCGTCTCAACTCGGATATCCCGAAGCTCTGTCCCTCGTCCTCTCAATTGCAGTGTACTAGGTGTTCAAAATGGAATTATTGAGAGCCTCTTCCTTCCGCGTCGTCGGCCCGCTCGTATCCCTCGGAGTATCGTTTGAGGGGCATCAGAGCCAAGTCGAACTCGGAGAATCTCTCCGTCAAGCTCCCCACAGAGCCCCCGCGTGCTTTACCGATGACTCTGGCTCGGATTATGAACTCTGATTCTGAGTTCAGTCCCCCCAGGACTTTCCTCGAGAACCACCTGCCTTTATCTTTCTTTTAACCCACCTGCGACGATGTCTTGCTTTTGTTAACGTGGCCTTCCCTAGTCCAAGGCTTGCACAGGAGGAATTCAGTCGTAACAAGCGTAGGCTCCCCAAAGACATTATAGACTAAAGTAGGCGAGCGTGTGTATGCCTGCATACGGTCATTACATTACTTTACAAGTGGTTTTCTTAACATAGTAGACAGGCATGCACGCTCCGGCAGAAGCATCGGCATCAGACTTTGAACGCCTTCACACCCCAATCACTGTGAGTCGTCTTCACCTCCATGAGCCGGTTTTGGCCACAGATGATCTGGTTCTCGAGATATCTTCAATCTGTTGTTCTATCGTTCTGCTATTGCACACTATCAGCGATCTCAAAACTTGTGATTCTATAATCAACATGAATGAAAATCACAAACTGAGAAAGTCAACTCCGCTCCAAAACGCGCAAATATATCAGTACTCAAAATTCTTTCTTCGAGCCACATCCCTTTCCTATGCTATCCACTACGGCCTCCCAAGCATAACCCTCAAATCATCCTGCTCTCCCCCAGCCTCTCTCTATTCCCATTTCTGTCCCCATCAACAGGAAAAGGGAAATGCCGCGTCGGTGTCGGTGTCGTGTTCCGGTTTCGCCTTTTTCAGGCCAATGATACGGCCTAGTACGGCAAGAAATTGCTTGGCGCGGTTCATTGTAGAAGCTGTATACAAGTTTCCCCTTGAAGTATGATCTATTCGTGACTTTGCTGTAGCCATTAAATCCCCAGGTTAGTCCAAAGCAAACATAATAATGGCCAAATAGTGTCGCTTCACAAAGTGGGTAGCTCGTGAGCGCGGTAGAGATGTCGTGCTGCGATTAACATTGAGGAGTGTAATTCTATAGACACCTAAGTCCATTTCGTCGAGTGATCTCTACATGTACTTGAGCCCAGAGAAGGAGGCGGATACCAGGGGCGATAGTAGGTCTACCTCGTGCTTAAGCGCGGATGTGTTGCGTGCCCAGGCTTGAACTAATATCTCTTGATCTAACACATCTGGGGTCTAAGCCTGCTATTTCTCAGTGCTTAGAGAGGGAAAGATCTTAAATTCTGACAATATGGATTAATTGATATGCAGAACAGGGTATTTCCTGGACATTTGAAGATACGTAAGTACTGACGGTTTTGAGACAAAGCCTTCGAGTCCTGGAGGCATGCGGAGGTTGGATGCTGGCAGACTGTTGGCGAAGCAGCGGGCTTTTATATTGCTCATCCGGCAGCTGTCTCGCAAGGTCCCTAAGGACGTTGATTGGGACCTTGATGAAAGGTTGATGGCATCTATGAGGAGTCGTGTGGGCTGTGTTCAGGCCATGTCATACGAGCAAGTCAGATGAGCAGAAGCGAAGAGAGAAGCCTAGCTCTTTACAACTAAGCTTGAGGACTCTCCTAGCGAACTTGCACTGATAGAGCATACTTTATATAAAATGCATTTGGTGGTGTATTTGAATCTTGAAGGGTTTCCGTTTCTCGGGTAAGGCACCCTGCACGCACTACAACATGGGCTATCTAGAAAGTCCCTAGCTGTCTATCAGGGAACATTTAAGGGAATCCCCGCATGACTCTGCTACTATTTTCAAGTTTTTCTTTCTTCAAAATTGGTTTGGTCATACAGAATTCTTGGTCCTGTTAGGCATCTTGGCACAGAAAGTAGTCATGCGGATCGTCGCCCGCCAAAGCCATCACTGCAAGGTCTTCAAGGTATGCCCGAAACCCTGAATGCAACTTGACCTTGGGCGACCAATGATAGAATTGCATGACAGAGAATCGGAGCTCTCTCATCGCCTCCATGCTCCCATGCGTTTTCGAGACGCATTGATCGACCTGTTTCTTCTCATCCTGTGTGAGCGTAGGATAGGTATCATCGAACTGCCGAAGAAGAAGCGCCAGCTCCGCCGGACCAAACATCCATAGACTCCCTTCGTCGCCGGCTGGGCCAAGGTCGACACCTACCCCGCCGTCCCAGTCGAACTTCTTCCAAATGTCTTTGGATGGCGCATGCAGAAGGGGATTCGCTCCGAATAGGTCAAAGTCCACGTGTTCCTCCTTCACAACTCGAGCCGCATTGTAAAGAATGTCACCCAGGTCACCTGCTGAGTCTTCCTGCTCCGGTTCTTGAAGCTTGAATCCGTCGCTGACTGTAAGGAACGTCAGGTAGTCTGGGTCCAGGGCGCAGTGACCATTTTCGCCCATTACTCGTTTTTTGAGCGCTTCGATATCCTCTGGAGATGCGGGAGGACAGATGTAGGTTGCTCCAGTAGGGCTTTCCGCCGAAGAGAGTAGAGCCTCATTCAGAAGTTCGGCGAGCTCCGCTATAGTCTTGGTCGCTAGATTTTGAGCATGACCTCGTGGATGAGAGCCGGGGGTGGCCATGATCAGGAGTAGTACAGGTGATGAAGATGAAGATCCGGAAGATGTTGCCGTGTTCCCTTCCGGTTTGTGCTCTCAGCCTCTTAACGGCAATGGACCTAGCTTAGGTTTGTAAGCAAGACACTCATTGGGTTTGGTGGGTCTTGAACTGTTGAGTACTATTATAAGCCAGCTGCACTAGTTTCCGTTATCAGCCGATTGGCGCGGCCCGGCGCTGAATATTCTGAAGCGGGCAAGAAGGCGAACGCTGTCTTTTGTATAGCGCGTGGCGCACAGTAAAGGGAGATGGCGCACATAGAGAAGGAACCGTTGATAGGCATAAGGCATGTAATAACAGGAGCTAGGTCAGACGAAGAACGATAAAGGAGGGAAGAAGTAAAACAGGCTAGGTATTCGCGATGGGGTAGAGGAGACCCGTACCTAAACCTGTTGGATACTTCTAGGCTCTACGACACTGCTGCTAGAAATTTCAGTGCGAATGCTTCTTACTAATTGGTCGTTCTGGGCATTTCTAGTAAGGTGAATTAGAAGGCATGTAAACAGTATTGATGAATGCGCTGGCGTCCATTTCGGTCATCTTATACTATTCATCTAAGTGGCGACCAGCTACTGCCCTTATTGGTTACTGAGAGTTTAGGGTCAAGTTACTGAGCTGTGTCTGATAGTCTTGGAGCTTTATCGCCTCACAACTCACTTACTGCAAATGCACTTCCCCCATCGAGTCCTGCGCCGCCGCTTCTCTGCATGTACGGGCCTGAGCCCGGACGGGGCATGTTTTCTTCTATTCTTTTTCTTCCTTTAAACTCTGTCTGTATCGACGTTACTTTGGACAGGGATCTAGACTCAACTGTTGTTGGATTTGGGTCATGCGCTTAATTAAGTTCAATATTAACATTATCCTACTAAGTCAAGTAAGTATTGAAAGTGTACCGTTATATTTTATAGTTAAGACCATACTATATCAGACAGTCTTTCTTTTGAAAACATTCATCCTTTTCAAGTCGAATCTCTTCCTCTCTTCAAACTCACAAACGTACTTAAGAGCCCCTCAATATAATACGAGGATATGGGAGAGATTCTCGTAGATAGACGGAAAGTCGGTATCAACGTCGCCGGCTCAGCCCGGATATCCCGAAGTGCTGTTCCTCATCTGATGTTTCATGGTATCGGGTACATCTCAAGTAGAAAGTTTGCAGCTCCCACTTTCTATCTCTGGGCGTGGCACGTGTCTGGTGGTGATAGTCCTAGTGCTTCTGCCCCGGCTTTTACAGGTAATTCGACGGAACGCATTGCGAGTCAGTCTATGCCATGATTAGGGTGTAGGAAGTCTTCCAGTTGAGGATGTGAGGCGATGTGAGGTAAGCTTGGGAGATGGGAAGCCCGTTGCCGGCCAAAAGATGTGGTGTACGGAGTTTATTCGACCGAATCGGATGATCATTGCTGACATTCTCCGTGGAGATAGGTTGGGAGACGGAGACCAGCTGCCGATTCAATGGTGTTTACTCAACTGTTTGTGTAGTATGCTACGGTTACGATTGCTGATAGTGCCGGTATTGTCGGAGAACGGAGGTCAGCAGGATCCCGCTGACATATCCGGGCGGGTGCCGGAGGGGCCGAGAAATCTTAACCTCTGGATGGCCCCACATAGTCCACTATCGGCTTTGGTATTTATCGCCGATCAGCTAGTCAGGCCAGAGAGTTTGGGACTATGGTCTGGTGCAATGCTCTCACACGCAGCTTCTCGATTTATGACCTTAACATCCTCTGATACGCTGCACCTAGATTTCATCGCAGCACTCTTGATGCCGCTGCAGCAGTCAAAGTTGCAGCCGGAACAGCCAAAAGCGACGAGAGTTTCCAGTAATCAAAGTTGCGGGGGACAGAACCACTCTATACGTCACAGATCAGCCGAGTACGACATTCGCTTCAGAGTGCGATTGGCAGGGGTGCGAAAGACAAGAATGCCGTTCAAACTCCGAGATTCTCTTGGCCGCCGTTGGTTGTTGGCTGTTGCTTTCAAGGTCCTAGGAGGGCGGCAGCGGATGGCCACACACGGGAACGGGAGTTTCTTCGGCCGTACATTGTGGAACCAATCTTGAGATCGCGAGGTAAGGTGATGTGAGGTCTTGCCATGCCGCGCCGTGGCCTTGGTTTCCCTGTTACCGATACTCAGCTGAGTCCATCACCAAAGATTTACCGAAAAATACAGGAGACAAATCGAACCACAGCGCCGCTTATTGCCGTCACGCGCTGTGGTCCCGCGGACTTGAGCGACTTTGATTGCTCGGCTGCGGGGGGTCGGTGTAGCCTCTCAGGCTCCTCAGCTTCACCGAGTGGATCTCGCCAGGCGCCGGTGGTCCGGAAACCGGCGGAAGTGATTCCGGAAGAAGGACCCACTCTTCCAATGTGCCGCAAGGCCGCAAGGCCAAAACGCCACCAACCCTGGTCGGTGCACTGATCGCCGGTTGTGCGAGAGACTGAGAAATGCCATTGTTTCGTCTGGTTTGATTCACCAGCTTTGGTAATGGTAATCAGCCCAGTACATCTGACCGCGGCGGACCGTCGATTGTCTTCCGGAGTGTGTGTATCATATGCGCTTCCCTCGGCTCCCATTCCACCAAGCGACCCGGTTCAACGGTTGATCCATTCTTTCCAACTTTTGTTCTGATGCCCACAAGACAGAGATGACGGCGTTTACAGGAGGCTGGTTTCCATCGTGTCGATCCTGTGAAAGACCTACCGGTACCACACCCAGTTGCCCATGGCCGTTTGCGAGACTCGGGGGACAGAAGAGACAAGGGAGCAGAAGCGCCGGACCAACGTGCGTCTCCTCAAGACAATACGGGGCAGAAGAGCGACACCAAGGCGGAGGTGTGGTGCGAAATGACATCAACTCCGGGCATGGTAGCGCTGGGCAGAGGTTCCGGTAGGAGACGACAGGGGCAGGAAAAGTGGACGCAACCTCCGGATTTCACGGAGAAAACAGCCTGGCGTCGTCAGCGACATCAGCTTACACTGTACGGAGTACAGTTTGTTTGATTCTCGAAGCCATGACCCGTTTGCCTGGCAGCGCTTCAGCCGGTGGAAAATAGCGCACTGTAGCGAGCTGCGCGCTCTCTTTTTCTCTCTCTCTTTCTTGCCCTCTCTTTCCCTCTCTGGAATTGGGCTTTAGGGCCTAGCCGTGGCATGACGATAAAATCAGCAGACCGTCAATAAGACAGTGCTACGCTGCAGCAAACGTTCGTCTGTTTCTGAAGAGAGAATTTGAGGTCACACAATTGCGTGCAGTGTGTCGGATGTTGGGTTTCAGACCAGGCTGCTTCGGTAACAGATCGTATGGTGCAAGTGTTCAAAATTCGATTTGTTTGTGCCGCGGACCAGCACGCTGGGCTGAAATGTACATACTGGCACGCGCCGGGTCGGGGGTGCGTAGAGAGGGAACCACCCGCACTGGGCAGGTTTGCCGGCAACACTACGGCGAGTCGGGCGCCAGACAGGAAGACCATCCCCAGAAGTTCGGCCGCGAGCTCACAGAACCATGTCCGAGGTCGCACGAATGAAGCATCTCGCCAAGGAACGGGGGGGTACAGATGCTCCAGAGAATGCAATCAACAACCGGTATCCAATGTCGCGATTCTCGTCAACCGAGGAATAAGTCGGAACAAGACGCGCGAAAGTGTGGATATCGACGGCAGCCGCCAGCCCCGTCTGGATATCTGCCGAAAAGTCTGGATTAGGCTTTTCTTCGGTCACCGGGAGAGAGTGTTCAGACGCTCCGCAGAACAAATGCGACATAACGCGCTTCCCCGGACGAAAAGGATGAACGTAGCGAACGTAGCGAAATCCGATGCAGCGTTCTAAAGACATCAGGCTGTTTCCTTTTGCGCGTAGAGTGCTGCGGAGCCTGACCAGCCCTGAAGAGAGGCACCCATAAAAGAGAGCGTGCACTGGGAAAGGTTTCTCGGCCCGCCCACCGGCTATGCCATACTGTGTTCTTTGATTTTTGCGCCCCCTACAACAGCGAGGAAGCAGATGTCGCATGTTTGTACGACGTATACCTAAAGAGTGTAAAAAAGGCATCAGAGATCCGGCTTGGCCGCGTAGTCGGCATGGTGACAGTGCACAAGGGCATTGTATCCCTACCTGATGTCACAGGAAGAGGTATTGTCAACTTATTGACACTCTGTGCCTGGCTCGGTGGCTCCCAGACGTACGGTAGCCAACGTCGGTTTTGTGCCGAGCACATCTTGATATCCATTCCTTGACGCAGTGGAAACCTGATGTAAGACACAGTGGCATGCCGCAGTATGCCTTCGCTGCAGAAAATGTTTGGTGATACGGACAGAAACGAAGAAACGGCCGAGTGGGGCGGGGCGTCGACTGTGCAAGTTCGCTTCAGCACGGGGAACGAGCGAGGGAAAAGGCCCAGGTTTAGGCCCGGGCAGGTCGAGTTTGATTAAACAGAGATTTGGCGCGTCGCCGGAACGAGATGGCGCTGGACTTTCTCGGGATTGCTGCTCCATGGTGAAAACTGGGGGCGAGGGCGTGCTGGGTGGGATGCCACCGGAGCGAAGACGGAACAGCTTGCAAACGTAGCAGACCCGGAGACGAGGCGGCAGCTTTTGCCGGCACTGTCTTTCGTGCACATTGCACAGAAGCAACAGCCGTGTCGACCCTCGGCCAGCGTGCCAGTCGTGTGTTCCAGACCAGCCCGATGGCCGGGACGAGCCGTGGACTGGCTATCCCACATACCAGAGACATCCAGCAGCATTATCTTGATGATGTGCAGAGGTATGGTGTCCGGACTTGCAAATCGGCAGAGTGTCGACGACGACGCGGTCGAGTTGGCATGGGAAAGACTCAACCGGAAAATGTGCCCCTGGAGAACTTCTATAGCTGGGTGGACCACGCCTACGTGCCCCCTAAATCATAACGAGAAGCGCATCGGCTCCGCGTAGCAGAGCGTATAGCGTCGGCACAGTCAGAAGCCCATTGAGCAAATTACAGTTTTGCTGCTGCATTTCCGGCCCCTCTTCGTCTCGATCGCTGGAGGCCGTGCCGTCAAAGAAGTATCCAAAGGCACGAGCGCAGCGTCCAACGAAAGCGCCCTGCCGCGCCGTCACGCCGTGTCTGCGAAGATCAAATTCGGGATGGGGTCAATCTTCCGTTGGAAGTTGGCGGCGCGATGATCATGGTCAGGGACGGGACAAGCTGGCGTGGCTCTGTAGCCGCCGGTTGGTTTTTGGCGCTCCGTGGAATTTGGGGACAAGCACCAAGGAGAGGAAGAAAGGTACGGAGTACTTGGAAGAGGGTGCTATACCGAATCTAGGACCAGGGGGGCGCGGCGATTCCAGGCCCGCCCGGCGGTGTTTGTCGTCCACACCCCCGTGGGCCATGGACCATGGCATTCTGTGCCTCGCCGTCGTTCTCGTCCGCGGTCCTCTCTTGCCCTGTGGCCTGCACTCCGTACCTTAGGCTGTGGCTCTCTCTGTCGCTGAAAGGTGCAAGTCAGGCTAGGTGGACATGGCCCGATTGCGCTGGCCGTCCCTTCTCATTGCGGTGTGGGCCAATGCCCGGCGTGCCGCGGGTCTGGCAGGGTTTGTGACTCTGTGCTGCCGAGGCGAAAGCGCTGTAGCAATCGGCGGGCCCGGCTTTATCGCAGGGCAAGGTGATGAAGGCTCGTTGGGACTGGTCGGGTCCGAAAGGCAAGCTCGGAGGAGGGGTTGCAGTGTCAGCCAAGACTATTCTCGCGTTGATAGTGGTATCAGTACAGGAGTAGAGTCGTCTTTTGAGGCTATTCGACTAAGCTTGCGGGAGATGGGCGCATTGCCTGTCGTAGAATTGGCGGCGCAGGTCGCAGGGGAACATGGTGAGACGGAGGAACGGTCTGCCCACAAGACGGACGGTGAAATTCGCTAGGCTTGCAAACAAACGGGATTGCGACCGGTCGGCGGCGGAGGCAGAGGACGGATGGATGCGAGACGCGAAATGTGTCGGGGGAGTATGCCGCAGGCACTGTGTCGAGACTGTACGAAGTATGCGCATCGTTTTGGCTTTCGGGCGGCATCCGGGCTGGGGTTGGGGGGGACTTCATTTGCGCCTCTGTGGATTGGGCAGAAGTATTGGAAATGTCATGACCTTTGAGTGAAGCTTTTCAGAAGTTTGAGAAGAGACAGAAAAAAGAGGCAAACAATGGATATCAAACAAGGGAGGATCACAATTACACATTCATTGTCGCTCCTTCTCATCAAGAACGAATGGAAGAATGGAAGCACAGGGGAGGCTCGAGGTAGGTGCCTGCCGCGGGAGTGCAGGTGTCGGCAGGGCAGAGATGCGTGTCAGGCAACGCAAGCGCGCAGACGCTGAGGCAGGTACCGATTCGACGGAAGTTGGAGTGAAGGCAGACATGGGCAACCTGGAACCTGGAAGGAGAGACCCGAAGAGAGGGCAGAGGGCGGTACTTGAGTTTTGGGGAGTGAGTGTCTAGGCTGGTGAGTACCGGACATGTACCTCCCTGAGGTGATGTGCGACGGACATTGACGCGGAAGGCAGAATGGGCAGAGTGGGTCCCCTCGCTCCTGGTTTCCTTCCGTCTCTCCTCATTCAGCTCCGGCACCACCAGCCGATCCGCCCGTAAAACCTCAGCAAAGGAGGGACCTCAGGCCCGCCCGTGTGTGGGCGAGGCAGGTGGCCCAGGCAGCTCCTGCTTTTTCGTTTTCTGTCCTGTCCTGTCCTGTCCTCCCCTCCCTTCTTGCCTGTTCATTGTGCAGTGTCTCTGCCACTCTGCCTCTGCCTCTGCCTCTTTCCCGAATGCTATTTTTTCGCGCCTGCCTCCGAGGGTTGTGGAAATGCCAGGTACCTGTGTCACCGTACTGTTCCATTTCCCTTCGGATTATTCTACACGCACCCCCCCTATTCTCAGCCCTCCTCACTCTTTACCTTACTTAGTCTTTCACCTTTTTTTCATTTTGGCACTTTCCACCACCCTGTCCCTTCCCCCCCCCAAAAAGTCCGCCGACTGCTCCCGCTTCCGCAGGCCGTGACTTCCTAACCCGCACCGAGCTTGGCCAGCCCTCAGTGGGGACGACCATCTGGCGACATCCGTCCGTTTCGTTCGGGGGCAAGACCTCTGTCTTCCTTCAGTTTCTGTGCCGTCTCCTCCCTCCACTTTCGTTCGGATTGCAGTCGATAGAAGGAGCCGTTGCGACGGGATGATATAATAATCAAAGGTGCGGCCAGAGTAAGGAGGTAGGGAGAGAGAGAGAGAGGAAGGATGGAAGTTAGGGACTTGAGTGCGCTGTTACAATGAATGCGAGGCCGAGGCCCGCCCGCCTACCTTACCTTGGGCACGCCGTGTGTGCCTCCTTCCCCCGTGTCCACGTCCCGTAACCCGTGTGCCGGTTCCCTCTTGCTCTTTTCCCCAGGTCGTCCACCTCCGCCTGCCTTTTCACGTCCACCACTTTGCGCTTTTCGCCTGAGGTGGTCTCTTTCTGATATTGCTCCTGCTGTCTCAAGCGAATGTCCAGTGTACCTAATATTCCCTCTTTCCCACTCTGATTTATCCTCTACTCTTCACGTGAGGCGACTGAAAGGTAAGGTACGGACGCTTCCTTCCCCCGCTTGCCCTCCGTGCGGCGTGGCCTCCTCCCGTCCTCGTAGTGTCTACGGAGTAGGTACCTGCCTTGAGGTAGGTAAGGTAGACTACAGAAATACGTACTGTACAGGTCACACCCCCTCCCCCCATCCTCTCCACACCCCTCCCCTCCCTCGTACTCCACTCCTTCCTTCCTCCTCTTCCAACCACCGAAACCTGAGGACCACCGCCCGGATTTTTCGCCCACCACCGAGAAATCGCGGCCGACCCGTGCCCTCCGATTCTGCTCTTTTTTCGTCTTCCACTGTCCACCACGTACAGCACAACTTCCAACGCTCAACATCACCGCATCTCTCACAACTTTCAACACAAAAGAAACAAACATCGCCAACCGCCTCCGACACCGTCCCGGCATCATATCCAACCAAGTCCGACCCCTTTTATCCCGTCGCCTCTTCGGCCGCTGTGGGCATCGTTCCGCAAACTCCCCCCGTCGCGTTCTGCCCCCCTTCCTGGGGCCTTGACGCCGCCGCCCGCCCTCGCCCGCTACCTCCTGCCTGGGGGTCTCGCCTTTCTGGAGCCACCCTTCTCCATAATCTCGGCGCGACGGGTCGTCTTTTCTCTGCGTCACCCGGCCCCAAAACTCTCTTCTCTTCCGGAGCCCCCCTCAACAAAACACTCCTCCTCCCGCGACCTTGACGCCCCCGAACTCTCCCTTCTTTTTCCTCCTTTCTTCAACTTCACCTCGTCGACTCTCCGGCTTTCTGACGCCGACCATCGCCGTGTGACTTTTGCGGACGTCACAAGTCGCCTCACTGGGATCACGACATCATCCCACAAACCAAGCAAGATTCTTCTACTCCTACCTACCTTGGGCGGATCAAGAAGCTCATCGCGTCGCGTCTTTTCATCCACCTCCGGCTGAACACACGCGCATCCGGGTTTCACCACACAAACCCTACCTACCGCCCTCATCTTCTCGTCGGCGCACTCTCTGCTCTGCAGAAGGGAAAAAAAGAGAAAAGTTCCATCATCCAGCGACACGCCGCTACTGACCAACACTGGTTCGCATCTCATCCACTTCACACCAACACCCAACCGCACCATGTCGGCCAGCGTTGTGCGGTCTACCGCCCTCCGAGCTGGCGGCGCCTGCGTGCGCTGTCGCAAGGGCAAAACCAAGTGCGTCTACGAAAACGGCCGCGCTCCTTGCAAGAACTGTGCCAAGGGCATGCACGAGTGCTATCTGCCCTCCGAGTCCATGGCCCATCACCATGGCCAGTCGCCTGCCCGTCATACCGCCGCTCATCGCCCTGCGCGTGAGAGTCTTCCTGCCTCGGTCCCGGCCGGCGATGTGCGCGCCGCCAACCCGGCTTCTACCACGTCTCGTCACGTTCAGACTCCCGAGAAGTAAGTTTGACAATTTGTTATTCATATTTCAAGCATTTTCATCTTCTTCCCCTTCACTGCCTCCGCCGCCTTGCCCCGAACCTTGCGCGACGCACACTTTTTGCGCTTGGCACTCAGTTGCCTTTTGCGCGCGCGCGCGCGCCGTGTGCCGGGTGTGCTATTCTCGTCTTTCGGCTGTGTCGCCGCCCACCGCCGCCGACCAGGGAGGGGAGCTCGGCCCCCTACTGCATGCGGCCTGGGCGCGGTGGCTTGTTCCCCTTCTCATCACACACGCGCGGTCATCTCTTGTTCTTCGTTTCCCCCCCTTCTGTTCCGTCTGCCCATGTGCCCTCCCCCTTGTTTCTTTTTTCCCCAAGATTTGGCTGCCATTGCTTCGATCTCCCGAAGACGGCGTTTCGTCTCCAACCGACGGCATCTCCCACCGCCGCTAGCCTAACCCTCGGAGCCGCCATCTGACGGCGGGCTTTCCCTTGGATCCCACAAGCTTTCCAATATCCTGGTGTACCCGTACTCGCTCTGCCCCCCTCCCCATTCTCATTTCCCGAGTCACATCCCCGTCTCCGCCACTTTTCACTCCACTTCTTCCCACCCGGGCCAGTCGCCGGGATGGATATGTCTTTCCACGCCCCCCGAACGCCAACACGGGCGCAAGAAGAAACACGAATGCTGACCTCATCCCCGCCAGACTCACACCGGAGCTGATCCAAGAATGCGAACGCGTCATTTCCAAGACGTACCCGGCCTGTGTTGCTTTCCACAAGCCTTCGTTCATCCAGCAGCTCAAGAACGCCTCGCTGGACCCGGCCCTCATCTACGCGCTGCTCACCTGCGCCGCTCGGTACGTACCTCTGCCTTTCGGGTCTTCCGATCCCCGATCCCAATTTCCCTCCTGATTTTGTGTTTCACTACGTCCCCCCCGCAATGTCCGGCTTTTTTTTGTGGGTGGCGCGGCCTTCCGTTCGGAAGCCTCGTGTCGGCTCGCTTAGCCACAAATGTCCGGACTTGGGCCGAAAAAGTGTCACCACTTTGTCTTTATTGTGGTTATTGTCTCTGAGGCCCGACTCAGTCGCCGCCTTGCAGGCTAGCTCTGCACAATGGTAAACTTAAGCGGACGAACACACTCAGCTAACTTCATTGTCCTTCCGCAGAAGCTCCCCCACCTTGATTAGACGCTATGGCGGGCAGTCCGGTGCGACTGGTGCTGCTGAGCACTTTGCAGCCAAGGCCATGGGCATCATTAACCAGAACCTCGACACTCCCAGCCTCGCTGAGATTCAGGCCATCTGCCTGATCATCATCCACGAGTGGGGTTCCCGCAATGCTGTTCGCGCCTACATCTACCTGGGCCAGGCCAGTCGCATGGTCCAGATGTACCGCATTCTCCACAGCCACCATGCGGCCGTCAGTGATGCCGATAGGTTCCTTCAGGACGAGTCGTTTCGCCGTGTGCTGTGGCTGTTGTACATCCTCGACTGCCTGCTGACCAGCACGCCCGGCCGTCAGCCGGCTTTGTCTGCCAACGACACGGCCGACGTCTCTCTGCCCTGCTCCGACATGAACTTTGCCTTCGGCAATGCTGTCTACGTTCAGACCATCAACCTCAGTGATCCCTCTCGGATGCCTTCTGGCTCCCGTACCGACGAGGTTGGTGAGTTTGGCCAAATTGTCATGGCCACTCGCATCTGGCGCGACGTTGTCCAAATGTTGATGACCACGACCACTGAGACCTTCAACGATAATGTCTGCACTGGTCTCATGGGCGAAATCGAGCGCCTCCGTGCTTCCCTGTCGATGCAGTACGTCGACAAGCCGGGCCAGATTAATCTTCACATCACCATGGGCTCTGGCTTCACATATGCCATGCTGCACTGCATGCTCCATTGCGCATCCATCTTCATCAACCGCCGCCGCCTGCTGCAGTATGTCACTGCACCTGGCTTCAACCTGGAGAGCTGGCGCCTGACCCCCCAGTGCCACGATATTATCGATAGGCTCTTTACGTCGTGCCACAGCACCATCGCCATGCTCACTGCTCTCGAGACTGGCTTTGACAAGGAGGGCATCATCTGCTTCCCCATCTTCATGCTGTTCTCGTCCTTCACTGCCAGTGCCACCGTTGCGTACCTGTCTCTCAAAGGCCTGACTCCCCCTAACGCGGTCGAGACTGCCGGGCATATTGTGCGCGATGGTCTCCACTTCATGCAGGATGGCGTTGACACCTGGCCTCTGATCAGCTCCTGGCTGCGTCACCTTGCCGTTATGCATAGAGTGCTCGGCAACGATGCTGTCGCTGGTAGCCCCAGTGTTGCAGGCACCTCTGTACCTCCTACCAGCGCCCCGCCCGCCGACCAGGCCTCTGTTAAGGACGAAGCCGCCTCGAACCCAGACACCAACCCCGACGCAATGGACTACGACCAGACCTCCAACTCCAACGCCGGCACTGGTGCCCCCGTCCCCCCGGCTCCTGCCAATAACCACACTGCCTCTGTGAGCGAGAGTGGCCGAGAGAGCGGCCGCGACAGTGAGCCTCCTGCGCCTCTGCCGCGTCGCCCCGGTGTCACTACTATCAACGGTGGTTCCGGCGGTGTTGGTACCCCGGCTTCCGTCAGCCCTCCTCCTCCCCAGCCGGCCGAGATCAAGCAGTCTACCGAGATGCTTCCTCAACCTCCCATTGGCAACGGCGTGGCGTCTGCCGAACCTGCTGCTCCTGTGCCCCAGGACATGACGGCTAGCGAACTCTGCTCCGCATTCGAGCGCCAGCTACTTGAGCTTGACGACCTCGCTGCCTTCATGGGTGGCGGAGTTTGACTCACCTCTTGATCAAACTTGACCTTCATGGAGAGACTTCCAATTCTTTTAAAGAAACACTGCAACGCCTCGGCACAGTTTCAGACCGACATATTGTACAGTACGACAAAAATACCCTGCGGATGCTTTTTTTTGATCTTGCGTCGGCCAGTCTCTCGAACCGGTTCCAGTATGGGATAATTGTGCTTTGACATCTAGGCGGAGTGGGTGTTGCGGAGGCTGTCGTAAGTACGCGACGTCTTGGGCACTATGGTATTCAGGAGGACCACTTTCACGAGCACCCTTACATAGGGAGCAAATGAATGTGCTTCTCCTGTGGGAAGGAAAGTAATGAGTTCTGATTTCGGCGTTGGAGGTGGTTCGTCAACGGTAGGCTGCGGCCAGCTCTACGGAGTCGTTGATCTTTATGTGTTTGTCCTGCGATAAGGCAACATTCGAGGACTTCTTGATTGCCTCATTTGAGGCCATGCTGCGTTAGCAAAAAGCAGCCATTAAGGCGTTAGGTCCCAAGTTGCATGGTAACTTTTAATCGAATACCCATGGCACACTTCATCACTTTGTCTTTCAACCCATGTGAACATGTGCTCCTTTCTCTACTACTGGCCATCTGACGTCTGCAGCGTGCATTGTAGCTGTCGCTGTGAACCTTCTTTTCTTTGTGACATTTGTCTTGCATGGTTTGGAAGAAGGCCAGAGAATTGGGTCAGGTAAGCGGACTGCCTGATCTCGACACCAGCCGGGCCCAGGATAAACCTCTTCCCGGATGTACCTCATGATCAATATGTTCGTCTCGGGTTGTTGACACCTATAATGTCTCCAGAGCTCGTGCTCCCTGCCCAATGAGGCAGAGATCAAAACTTACAATCCTCCATCATGTCAGAGGATCCAGGCTGATGTCAGATGTTCTACGCAGTATGCGAACGGTTAAAATATTCCTAGTGGGCGGCCCTGTGTTTGTTAGTGGATGAGACTAGGGGCGGGGCCGGCAGTGGGAGCGGATTTCGGCATTCGGCGCAACACACATCCCTGGCCCTGCCCACACGCCACACGCAAGCCACATGTAAGCCTCAGGCTCACCTCCATCAGCCATGACCACATCTGAGGCTGTTGCGAGCAGAACCGGCCGGATTTCAACATTTTCGACTTCAACTCCGCCTCTCGACGTACATTTGCCGCAAGGTCCTCGACATCGCCCACACCACCCACGACCCAAACCCGGTGGGTTTCGAAGCCAATCCTCCTCCTGCTCACTCCATCGCCCATTGTTCCCCCTTCCCACTTCCTAAGTTCCCTTTTTCGTTGGTCTCACACTTCCTGCACTCCATCCAAACGGCATTTGCGATCCCAAACGGACATCTGAAGCCCGTTCAAAGCTGGCGGGTGTTTCGTTGGCTGCGAATATCGTGAGACAGAAAGTACAGACAGAGAGATACCTACACACAAGAGACGGAGGAAGAGAGAGGGAGATTGATCGCCTGCAGCCAAAAAGCTTAGCAGGGCAAATTTTGGCCCGCCACCAACTCCGGGACCTGGCACCACCGTAACCATCACGCAACACACACGCCGCTGCTCAACCAAGTCCGCTCGCCGCCCACAACCCCGGGGGAAGGTGGACTTCCGGATTCTCGGCCCGCTTACCAAAGAAAGCAAAGCCTTGCCCACTGACGGATTGTACCTTTTTACCACCTTTTTCTTCCTGTTCTCCAAACTTAAACGACAGGGGCATTCGCTTCCAAGTTTAAATCCCGGATGCCGACGGGGATCGAAACCCGCGACTCGGGGGCCGCCGAGTCGGTCAACGGCGGCATCGCCGCACCCTACGGCCGGGCCTGCACCAACTGCTCCCGCGCAAAGTGCAAATGCATCCTCCGCCCCGTCGGTGGGGCCTGCGAGCGGTGTCACCGGCTCGGCAAGTCGTGCCAGCCGAGCAACCCCATCCGGAAACGCTCCAAGAAGCCGCCGTCCAGCCGGACCGCGCAGCTGGAGGAGAAGCTTGATGGACTTGTTACGCTGCTGAGGCAGTCGGGAAGGCCGAACTTGTCGGCTGATTTGGGTGTTGATATTCACTTGTCTGGGGGGTCTGTTTCCTCTTCGTCGACGACGGCTGCTGCTGCTGCTGCGGAGGCGGCGAGGAGGCAGTCATCTGAGATGGGAGATGTGCATGGCGCTGGCGGCGAGGGTGGTGGAGGATTTGACTCGGCGCAGCATTTCGGCAAAGGTGATCGCAGAGACCGTGGGGCGTCGTTGCCGACGCCGACGCAGACGGCTAGCCCCGAAGAACCCGGGTACGGCGACGAGTTACCATCGCCAGACGAGGCGGAGGCACTCTTTGAGGCGTTTCGTGGTCAGAATCTCAAATACTTCCCGTTTCTCAACTTCAAGGCTACGATGACGGCCGAGGAGCTGCGCGGCGAGAGGCCGTTTTTGTGGATCTGCATCATGACAGTCGCGTCGAGGGTATCAAGTCAACAGCTTGCGCTGGGGCAGCGTGTGCGGCAGATTGTGAGCCACAAGCTGCTTGTCGAGAATGAGAGGAGTATCGATTACCTTCTCGGGTTGTTGGTGATTTTGGGATGGTCAGTACAAGTCACGTTCGTGTTTCTGCTCTTTCTTCTCTTAGTAAAATCGTTTGCGCGTTTGGTCAGTGTCGCTGACATTCTAGGTGTCTTTTTAGGGCAAACCACCAGCTTGGTAACAAGCCGTTCATGTGCTTGTTCTGTCAGATTGCTATCGGTCTCATCTTTGACCTGGGAATGTCCCGCGACCCCTTGGACAGCCTGAACCCTTTCCTCTGCTGGAAGGCTGCTCAGGAGAGGGCTGACCGGGAGAAGACTGGGACTGTGGGGCAGACTCTGTATGTCAAGTCGCAGATGCCGCGGACGATGGAGCAGAGGAGAGCTGTGGTTGCGTGCTACCTCATCTCGTCGGCGTGAGTACCCTCGATCTACTCAACCAACTTGCCAATTCCAGGCAGTGGCACTGGCTGAGATAACAATGTTAATACCTGTGTAGCGTCGCGAGTTTCTTGGGCAAGATGGACCCCTTGCGTTGGACACCACACATGGATGAATGTCTGCAAGTTCTCGACGAGCAGCCCGAGTCGCCCTCAGACCGCACCCTCGTAGCACTAGTCAGGATGCAGCTACTCAAGGAGGAGGCCGGGAAGATGTCCGCGGCATGGCGTCCCGAAACCACGTTCGACATCGTCGATTCGCACAGGACGCCGCCTGCCATGTATGTCAAGCTGCTACAGAGGCAGCTTCAGCAGCATATCCAGAGCCTGCCGTCAGAGCTCCAAAGCACAGGTGAGTCTTCTCCTTCTTTCTCCTACCGCACTTCTGCCTTTCATATCTCGGCACCTCGTCTCTAACCTTTTACTAGACACGATCATCGCCCAACTTCATTGCACAGAACTTTCCATCCAAGAAATCGCCCTCTCCAACAAGACAGGCACCTGCGTGCCCGCCAACCTCCCCGACGTAGCCCGCCTCGACATCTACTACGCCTGCCTGCACGCCGTGAAAGCCTGGTTCGACCACTTCCTGACCCTCCCGCCCGCGGCCTACTACACCACCCCCTTCCTCACCTTCTCGCAGCTCTCCCACTGCATAATCGCGCTCTATCGCCTCTCGGTGCTCGAGGACCCCGTCTGGGACCGGGCCAGCGTGCGGTCAACGATTGATCTCATTGCTACGCTCGACGAGATCGGCGACCGGTTTATGAGAGTTTGCAGCGAGGCTGGATTGAATGTTGACGTTGAGGAGGGAAATGCGTTTGCGAAAGCTGTTAAGACCATCAAGGGGCTCAAGGGAACGTGGGAGGCTTCTATGGCGCCGTTGGCCAAGGTTGATGCGCCTGCTGCAACGGGGGTTGACGGGACGGGTGTCCTTGGGGCTGGGATGGGTGGCGGTGCTGGGGTTGGGGAGGTTGAGTTGGGGCAGTTTGGATTGGATTTGATGGATAATCGGTGGTTTACGGATATCTTTACACCGTTCGACTTTTAGGGGTTTGTTGATTGGTGTATTTAGGGTGCACTGGATAGATTATGGATGGGACGTATCATGGGTATATCACGGGCTGGGCTGGGCTGGGCTGGGTAAGGTTGGGTTTGGATTGTCGAGTCCGGCGTTGGTAGTGGGATGCTGTTGGGTCTGGGTTTGCATCACCGCTCCTCGATTAGTTGGGACGAGTACTTGATGTACTTTTTTGGGATATAAGTAGGAGACTGGGTGTACGAGTTTGTGTACGTCTGCTGCGTAACGTAATGAGACTGGATACCTTGAAGGAGTTGGCTCCGAAGTCTGGTGACTGTGTTTGAGAGTTGAAGAGGACACCGCGATGTCTTGAATGAATGAGGGTCAAGGCGGGAGAAGGAGAACTTGTCGGCTTGCCAACATCCGCTGAAATCTGGCACTCGTCTATTGTGGTGTACGCTTCCCAATGCCTAATTGCCGCTGACTCTCCCACATGCGAAGAAGACCTTGACTCGGTATCGGTGGTAGTCGGCTCGATTAGTACGGTGTCTATGAGCTTCATAACCATGGGGCAGAGCCATAACGCGGGCATGCCGGACATATATTTGACCGCTTGATGGGTTTCGAGCCCTCCCCAGTCGCAGTCTCAATGCAAGAATCTCCCTCAAATTGTGTAAACGTCTCTGCTTTTTTACGTGGTCTAGGCCGATTAGATGAACTTCAAAGTTTTGATTGAATGCTTGGCGGGGCGCTGGCCAAGGCGTGTGTTGCCCGGGATTGTTCGATGGCGCTATCGAGCGGCCCGATGTCGACATGGAATCCCACCCCCAGGCCGGCAGGGAGACCGAATAATCCCACGCGTCTTTTTCCTCTCTCGCGGTTAGCATCTGGAATATTTGCCCCAATTAATGCCCTTGGATTTAATGGCGTTCAAGCTCAACGGTAACGGACTCTTTCGTTGCCCTTGCCAAGCTTTTCCTTGACGCGATGAAATGACAGCGTTCTGCTCGTGGCAGGTGCCATGGGATGGGATGATTGAATGGATAGCGCCATGGATTACGTGATTTCTTGGTAAGGCCGTTTAGAGGTGCTATATCAAGGGGATATTCAGCCAAGTCTTGTTTCCCGCAACGGTCTTCCCGTGTTCGTGTCTTGGCTACCTATCCTATATTGGGACCATAATCCGATGGAATGGACACCGAGAGACGAATGTAGTGACACGTTCGTACCAGACCAGATTTAAAACATTCTATCAATTAGGGCATGTTTGAGATCGAAAGCAGAGTCGTCAGGTTACGCCGGCAGGACCGACATCTCCTTGTATATCGCGAGAACCTCGCACGAAACAATCGTGGACCAATCTCTCACCTGGAGAATCCTATCTTCCTACTATGATATCCGTAGTTTCGCATGCTTCAGCTGAGTTACGACTCACTAAACACTGTAGAGCACTTCAAGGCGCGGACATCCAGCTCTCCTCAATTGCCGTTCTAGAACGTTTGGTACCGGCTACCGGATGTCGTCATTTACCCTCGGTGTTACTCCATCGCCAGCCTATCAACAACATCCACAAAATCAGTGGGACCACGCCCGCGCGGGGGTGGATTCGGCGCGGGTGATACCACGTCCCTCGCACATCCGATTTGAGCGAATCCACGGACGTTCGAGTACGCTATGTACAAGTAAGAGAAGGGAGAGAAAGAGACTAGGGACAAGCCGCGGTGGAAACGCACTCTCCGCGGTGGTCCCTGGAACCCGTCCGTTCCTCTTTCCGTCCCAAGCTTTTTCTCCATTGCTGCTGGGACGTTACAATCGCGCGTCTCGGGATGTAGTGTAGGACGGGGGTGGCGACAGTCGTAAACTCGTGCTAACTTCAGCTGATGGTCCAATTGTGTGTCCAGGTCGGCCTAGCCGGCTGGATGTCGTTCAATTGGGTTCAAGGGAGCTGAGCTGACCCTCCATTGCGTGCTTCTGTGCCTCTTACTGTGGAAAGGTTTTCGAGTGCCAAGATGGTTGGTGTTGACTTGTCAAGCAACTCGAGCTAGCTTGAAGGCATGGGTAAGGAATATTGAGCCAAGAGATAATCGATTGTGTGATTTGGTACCCCCCGTTATAGTGCCTGTCGCCTGCGAACATGAGTCGGGGACGGATGGTGGGAGGGTTTCAATTGCAGTCTTGAAGAACGACGTGGGAGCGCGTATCTGTATATATGTATCCTCACGCGACCATGGCGTTCATCTAGAACTCTCCTCAAGATTGTGCCGTCACCGCTTTGGCCTCTTCGAACTCACCCGGGTCCTTATCCACGTGCCATCTGTGGCCCCTCAAACCTGACCGGCCGGTCAAACCTACTATCCGCAGAACATAAGGAACGACCACCTCGACAATGGTCTTTTCGAGGCTCTTCCCGAGCGAGAAGTCGGGCGGCGCGGATTCGACTGTCCGCGCTGACCCCGAGGCCAGCGACTCTGAGCCGTCCATCATCCACGATGGCGATCTCGCGTACACCAGGGTCAAGGGAGGCAACGGCTCCAAGCCGTCGTACCAGGAGGCTGTCGGTGCTCCTGTCGAAGCTGATTCCCCGTTGGGGTACCATGTCAATTGGGTGGCCATTATTTTCCTGAATATCAATATGATGGTTGGGACTGGTGTCTTTTCTACTCGTAAGTTGGCCCAAACTCTCCATTGCTTGTGTGGCAAGATGATCAAGGCCAGACTATGGCTTCTTCAGAAGTACTAGATACTAATATAATCCCGGTGTAGCTGCGAGTATCCTCAACAGAACGGGGTCAATTGGGCTCGCCTTGATGTACTGGGTGATTGGCTTCCTCATGGCCTCGGCCGGTTTCAGTGTCTATCTTGAGTTGGCCAGTTACTTCCCCAACCGCAGCGGTTCGGAAGTCGTCTACTTGGAGCAGCAGTACCCCCGCCCGAAGCATTTCTTCCCCGTTGCTTTCGCGGTCCAGTCGGTGATTCTGTCGTTCAGCAGTAGTAATGCAGTCGGTTAGTGAAAGAGAGCATCCACGTCAGAGCTGGAGGAAATCGCTAACGCGTGTGGCAGTTCTGTCTCGATACCTGTGGAGGATGGCTGATATTACGCCATCGGAATGGCAGATGCGAGGCGTCGCTATCGCAGCTTACACCCTGGCCGTCATCTGCGTCCTCGCACACAACAGATATTCCCTCTGGCTTGTGAACTTCATCGGCGTTCTGAAGCTTCTCACCCTTGTCTTGTTAGTTACCTACCCAACCTATACTAAACTTCCCATCACAACTAACGCTCATCCTCTAGCATCTCCATAGCAGGCCTGGTAGTCCTAGGCGGCAACGTCAAACACATACCCGACCCAAAAGCAAACTTCCGCAACGCCTTCGAAGGCACAACCAGCAACGGAAACGACCTCTCAAACGCCCTCGTCAGCATCATCTTCTCGTACGCTGGCTACTACAACGCCTTCAACATGACCAACGAGATCAAGAACCCGATCCCCACGCTCAAGAAGAACGGCATCATTTCGTTGCTGACGGTCGCCATCCTCTACATGCTCTGCAACATTGCCTATTTCGCGGCCGTGCCGAAGGCCGAGTTCAAGGGCGCGAGCGAGATTGCGGCCGCGGTGTTCTTTTCAAAGTTGTTTGGCGGGAGCAAGGCTGCTGCGAATGTGTTGAATTTCTTGGTCCTGTTGAGTGCTTTTGGGAATTTGTTGGCTGTGTTGATTGGATCTTCGCGTATGATTCGTGAGATTGGCCGGTTAGTAGATGCTCGTTTCGATTTGATGGAACTTTTGCTGACTTCAGGACGTAGACAAGGTGTTCTTCCATTCACCAACTTTTGGGTCTCGACTAAGCCCTTTGGAACTCCATTGGGTCCGTACATGTTGAAGTGGACAATGACCTTCATCATGATCGTCGCGCCCCCTGCTGGCGATGCCTTCTCTTTCGGTATGACCTCATTCCCCGGGATCCGCTGATCCATGTTTTGAACCTACCACTAACATCAGATGCAGTCGTCGATCTGGCTAGCTACCCCAGCGCAATCTTCAACTTCGCCATGACCTTCGGCGTCTTCGTCCTCAGACGTCGTCGTCAGCGCTCCGGTATCAGTCGCTCCGAGTTCCGCGCCTGGGACTTTGTCGTCCTCTTCTTCCTCGCCATCCAAGTCTTTGTCTTGGCGATGCCGTGGTGGCCGCCGAAAGGTGGCCCGTACGCGGGAAGCGTCAGCTTTTGGTACGCCACGTACTGTGTCGTGGGTATTGGCATGTGAGTAAACCCTTTATTCAAATGTGAAACCAAAGTACAAGGAAACCCGCTGACTTGTTCTGCGTTCTGCTAGCATCCTTCTCTGCATTCTGTACTACGTCTTCTGGATGTATGTCCTCCCTCGCTGGTTGGGATACGAGATCCGCACGGAGATTGTCGAGGTCGATTCCAACGGCGCCAACACGCATCGCCTGGTCAGAGTTCCCAAGGCCGAAGTTGCTGCGTGGGATGAGGTGCATGACGAGGCTGGCAATTTGAGGCGGCGACACGTTACTACCGAGCTTGATTCGGGCAACTCCAACGAGAAGGGGCTTTGAGTCTGGTTTTGGGACATAAGGACGTTTGGCTAGCCTGAGGGTAGAAAATCATGCTACCCAGGTTTGCTTAGGGTCTACCCAATCAGGACTCCAGGGGAAGGGGATGATATTGGTGTAGTTATGTAAATTGGTAGTGGAGAGGTAACTCTATATATCAATGTCACTCATTAGAGTGCCACCTAGCACACGAACCAGTTCAGAGTCCGCATAAAATTGCTCTTATTGTGCATCAAGAGGGTCACTATACTTCCAAAAATGATCTCACTCTTCACGTCAATGATACCACCTGTTGGACCACGAGTAGGCCCATGTTTAAAGCAAAAGTATTGGAGGTTGTCAGCAAAAAGAAATCCTCAAGGCTGAGCATACTTTCTTTAGTCAAGAAAGGGGCCAACCGTAGTCGCTTCAGATGGAGTCAATCGTATATTCTCATCCCACGTTTGTTAGGAATCT